AATAAAACTCCATTTCTTGGTGGGCAAGTTGACACAAAGAAAAAGAGCATGTAAAATAAAAGATAATGTTGCAGTGGCTTTGAAAATGAAATAATACAGTCCCCTTAATTTGCATTCCTTCCATATGCAAAATATACTTAATGCCCTACCATCACCCCTACCCCCACCAAAATATCCTATTACAGCACTAGCTGTAAGGCCAGGATCTTGTTAGCCTGAATCAGATGCAAGTGCAGACGGTACTCCTTTGGTTTAGTTCTTCACATAAAACTCCTTAGATACAGCTTCTCTTAAGCCAAAATCCCAACACCTCAAAAGATAACTTATCTGCCTCACTACAGTAAGCCAGGGATAGAACTGCAATAGACATTTGCGTTCAAAAGGTGTAAGGAATAGGGAGTTACACAGAAGCACTTAACAGTGCCATAGCAATTATGAAATTTGCTCGGCACATGTCATCAGCAACTTGATTAGAGCACAGTTCTATTCTCTGAAAATAATCTCTGTGGCACTTGACTCTGCTGCTCTCTGCTGCTCTATTCCTATTTCATTAGAAATAGTCCATGTTTGTAACAGTGCAGTTTTCTCAGCCGGCTGCCTGCCCATACAAGATTGGGATTCCCCATACATGCAAAGGCTCTTTGAACTATGTTTATCCTTTCCTGTTTTTAGTAGTGGTGCTTTTATAAAAACTTTGTAAAACCTTTGTGGGTTTCCCATAAATTTTATTGAAATTAACTTCATTAGACAGTTGCTAATCCACAAATCTCTTTGATACAAGCCACTCTCTACTATGGGACAGCAAACCTAAGAGCCTTAGAAGCTTTTTTGACTAGCTGAGACTTTCTTAAAAAGTATGTATTTAAGACTTCCTTTGTCTAGCTGAAAAGCTCTAAGAGGCATTCTTAAATCTTTCTGAGGTCTCAACAAATAATTTTACAGGAGTACTCTTGATCTGGTCCTTACTCTGAGGCCATTTTTTACTGACAAAACCCTAGGATTTGAGAAGTATTAGATAAGCTAAAGTAAGGGAGAGTACAATCCACAGTGGAAGATCAGAATAAATAAAAGCATAGTTTCACTGGGGAGTAGTGAAGAAAACTATTTGGCTGGGTTCACGATGAGGTGAAACAGAAAATGAAATTGGAAAGGTAGAATAAAATCAGATGTACTAAGAGCACTGACTACCAGATCATGAAATTTTCAATTTATGCTCTCAATTGCCAGTTTCTATTTGCTGGTCCAAAGGTTGTTATATCAGATATACTCGGAGAGCTTTATAAATACACAGACTCACCCTAGAGATTTTAAAAAGTTGGGAGTAGAATCTGTATCTAAGCAAAGCTCCCAAGTGATTCTCAGACACAACCAACTTAGGAGCCACTGCTTTACGCAATAGTCAGTTGCTGAGAATGGGAATAACATAAATGCAGGCATCTAATGAAGTTTCCAGTTACAAACCTGAATAAGAAAAAATGGTATTTTCATTTATAATTTTCTATTTTTCTTTATTCATATTATTTCCCTCAGAGACCTATTTCATAGGACCCATGTATTCTTTGGTCATATACATCTAAAAGAACCCTACTCTCATCATAATCTCACTTTAACACATAACAATAATTTTCTATTTGGCTGGGTTGTTTGTCAAGGACAATAAACCTGGTATATTAGAGAGCAAGGTCCTAACAGAAATTAGGAGGCTCTGGAACTATGTTATGTAGGTATGAAATCATAAGCACGTGACCTAAGGTGGTGATAGTAGGAATGAAAATGAAGAGATCAGAGCCTTGATACTGTTATCACTTCTAGAAGAAATCACAGAAAGTGTTGAGAATCAGATCTTTTACCAAGCAGCTCTATGACAATGAAAATCTCTTCACAGAAATATTTCAGTAAAATGTAAAAAGAATGAAGAATTATAAAATCACTATTTAAAAAAATTTATATATATATATACACACACATTTTTTTTTTTTAATGCCTACAGCGCCTGGTCTTCCTAGGTGGTCTCTCATCAAGTACTAACCAGGACTGACCCTGCTTAGCTTCTGAGATCAGACGAGATTGGGCATGTTCAGGGTGGCATGACCGTAGACTTTAACTTCTTTTTATACATTTGCACACATCAGACAAGATCGGACTTGTTCAGGATGTCATGGCCATAGACTAAAAATCACCATTTTTTTAAACTCTAGTATTTTAACTAATTCAATGATTATCAAACGGTATTTACACTTGTAAGTGAAAACAATATGTCAAGGAAGCAATCAAAATAAATCAAAAAAGTCAAACATTCTCTAGGGACACTGACCCAATTTCTTAAAAAAGTCAAAAGCACAATAGAAAATAAAAATAAATAAAGAGACTCTTCAAGATTAAAGAAGACATAATGACATGACAACTAAATATCATGTATGAACCTTACTTGGATCCTGGTTTCAGCAAATCTACTGTAAAGAGATTTGGAGACAATTAGGGACATTTGAATATAAACTAGGTGTTAGGTTATATTAAGTAATTATTGATAATTTTGTTAGATGCAATAAAGGTTTTATGGTCATATAAAAAATGTTCTAATTTTTAGAGATGCACTTAGTATTCTGGGACACAACATCATGAGGTCTATAATTTACTCTGAGTATTCCAGCCCCATGCTTAAATAAATGAAACATATAACAAAAGGTTAATAATTTCTTAAATCTACATAATGGGTATATTAGTGTTCATTGTACTATTCTCTCAAATTCCCTGCTTGCCTAAAAATGTTCTTGATAGATACAAATGAGGGTAAATTATTAGTAACTAACTCTTCTGTTGTTTCATTAAGTTCTGAGTTAAAGAATTCCTCTGAATATTCTAGTGCACAGATACATGAACCAGATGAACCATATGTATTTCAGTTAAAATTATGGTGCACAGAATGGAAAGTCAGGTAATCTGCATCCTTTCTGAATTTCATCCTAATGATACTTATACCAGAGTGTACCATATATCCATTTTCAGGCTTTAAAAAAGCATTTTGGCAACAAAAATGTTAACTTTCCAAAACTGTATTCAACAACTAAGCAATAAATGTTAACATAGTACTTATTTTTATATTTATATAGTTTTCCCAGTTCCAAAAATGTTATATAAAAATGTTTCCATGTAACACAATTAGAAAAAACATTTTCTACTGAAATAAAGTAGAAAATGATCATGTAACTATTTACTAGTTAATACTCATTTTGAGTAACTAAAACCTAATTTCAAGGATAATTTATAAATTAACACCAAAACCTGATTAATTACATATAGACAGTATAAGGCTCAAAAATTAAGTTTTAAAAATACTTGATAACTTAAGTATATGTATATTAGCTTTTGAACACCAAATTTAAGTTCTTGATTTTAAAAGAAGTCTTTCCACCACAGTTATCAGTAGTATCACACAGAGTTCAAAGCACTTGATTAAATACACTTTAACTAAAAAGTAGAATCCAATATACAAAACTTATCAATTAAGAGTTAGGAAGTGAGATCAATGATTCCAGGAATCCCCAAGACTCTTTTAGAGGGTCTGCAAGGTTAAAACTATTTCCTCATACTTTTTCACTGAGTTGACATTTCCACTGACAGTACAAAAGCAATGTTGGGTAAAACTGCTGGCACCTTAGCACAAATCAAGCCAGAAGCACCAAATCGTAGTAGTAGTCATTGACTTCTTCACTGCCATGAACCTGAAGTAAAAGGTTGGTTTCACTAATAAATGTCCTTGAGGAAGCAGTAAAAATTATCAATCTTAAATCCTTAGTACACGTGGTCTTAATATTCTGTGTGACAAAATGAGAAGTATTTATACAGCACTTCTTTGTATTATATTTGAAAATGTATCAACAGTTGGTAGAACTGCATAACTCAGTAAGCAATGATTTTCCAAATGACTTATGAATAATGTTTCAAAATCACGTATGAGTAAAGAGCCATTCAAAGTTTTAGATGAATGAATTTGAATTCAGTAGTCTGAAAAGTTTATTGATATGGTTTCAGATTCCATATTGTAACCAACATTTAAGAAACTACCATTTGTCAAATTTTGGTGCAGTATGAAAGAAGAATATCCACAAATAGGTAATCTTCTCTTTTCTGACGACACATAAATGAGGCCATATAGTACTTGATATACTACTTCAATCAAATCATCACATCACAACAGACTGCAGAAGCAGATATGAAAATCTAGATGTCTTTTTTAAAGCTAGACAGTAAAGAGATTTGCAAAAACTGTAACACAGTAGCTCTCAAACCAAAGATAATTTTTGTCCCTCAAGGGACATCTGGCAATGTCTAGAGATATTTCTGGTTGTCATAACTGGGGAAAGTGCTACTGACATCAAGTGGGTAGAAGCCAGGGATGCTGCAAAACATCCTACAAAACAGGACAGCCAACACAGGGAAAGATTATTCAGCCCGATATATTAATAGTGCCAGTTGAGGGATCCTGAGGGAAAAAAATACCACTCTTCTCGCTCATTTTTTTTGGGGGGGAGGAGGGAGGAATTAGTTATTTCTCATAAAAATATGTTATTCATATTCACATGTAATGGGTTTGTTACTGTAATATTAAATGAATTAATAATAAACAATTAAAAATTTCTTAGTTTTAATTTACAGTAAGTAAATACCAATAGGTTAATTCATATAAACAAAAGCGCTTTGGGTGTTTAATCATTTTTACTAGTGTAAAGGAGTCCTGAGACCAAAAAGTTTGAGAATCACTAAATTTGAAGAATGATAGAACTAACTGAGAATGTTGGAGAATATAAGAGGAATTAAAAGACTCTAAGGGAAAATTTACTCATTTCAAGAATATTATGGATGACCAAACAAGACAAACAAAAAACCATATACCACTAAACAGTTCAAAAGAAAAAAGTTAATGATGGACCTAAAATGTCATTCTCTCCTAAAAAACAAACAAACAAATAAAAAAACCCACACATTAAACAACTTCTTACCCTGGCTATGAGGACTTGCTGGACTAAAAGACGGCTGATACAAATCTCTGGTTGGCGTTGGATAAGCTTCTTTCCCTTGGCGCTGACTCATCTTTCCTGGTGTCAGAAGTTGAGATTCGTCACTGTTTGCTACCACAACTCAAGGAAAGATGAGAAAAAGAATTAGTACTTCAGTCCTAGATTTACAAGATGGTATATTAATAACATAGAACAGAATCATGATAGAAATCACCTCAATGGTTATGTTCATTTTATTACCAACTCAATACTGTAATATATTTGCATAGTTTTATTTTCTTTTAATTTGAGTTTTCTATCAATCCAAAAGGAATTGACAAGTATGCATGAGTAAAATTATACAAGCTGTAGACACTATAAAAATAAAAATATATATTCAACTGAGGATAAAAAGTACTCCAAAGTTTACTGTGCCTATTAACTCTATATTTGTCAATAGAACAATAAGCAAATAACAAAATCATTTCACAGAAGAAATACAATGGTCGATAAACATGTGAAAAGATACTCAACCTCATTAGTGATCAGAAAAAATATAAATTAGTAGCAGTATAAAATATTTTACATTCACTAGAATTTCTACTCTAATTTCTAATTTTCATGGATAGTTAGGTATAATTCCTGTTTTAGAGATGGGGAAACTTGAAATTCAGAGATTGCCTTGCCTAAGATTAAGTAATATAAGTAAGATTCTAACTCAGGACTATTTAGTTCCAAAGTCTGGCTCTTAAAAAGCTTACTGCCCCGATAATCAATTTAAATAGTGTTTAAGGCTACAGTTCACCCGTTTGACAAAGCTACTAACAGAGAAAGGCAATGCCCAATACCAGAGAGGAGAGAGAGAAAAGAGAAAAATACTCCTTGAAGGAACAAGGCAAATTGTGAGCAAGCCCAAAGTGCCCTAGAATCGCCACATCCTATCATTTTGTTTCTGCGCTTTCAGCCTACAAAAACTTGTTGTATTTCGAGTGAAAATGATTCTATCTTCACTCTTGACTTAATTTTTAACGTAACCAGAACTTCATGTTCACATTTTTATCACTATATCTTTTAAATAAATTGATTTAACATGTTTTCTATTGTGCTAAAGTCTTCAAAATTTTGTTTTAACTCCTTAAATCTCAAAGTAAAAATTCAAAAACTCTTTCTCATCCAAGTAAAGACATAAAAGATTTATTTTCCCATCAAGACCATAAAAAAAATCTATATACTGATGACTCCTAAATTTATATCTCCTTCTAAACTCAAACTCACATATCCAATTGCCTACCTTATAATCACCTCTATTATTTAATAGGCAGCTCGAATTTATCGAGAACATAATTCTTGATTCTGCCTATCTCCCAAACCTCTCTCTCTTCCATCTCAGTAAGTCGAATCACTATTCCCCTCCACTTTCTCAGGCCAAAAACCTTAGATGCTTCTTCAATTTTTCTCTTTCTTTCACACTTCACATTCAATTTATCTCTGAGATCTTTATAGTCTACATTCACAATTTATTTGGAGTCCTTCTACTTCTCCCACTTTCACAACTACTACTCTGTTCCAAGCCACCATTACCCTTCCATTGGATCACGGCAGCAGTTTTCTACCCAGTCTCCAGACTTACCATCTTGCTCCTTGCTTGTGTAGAGTTCATTCTCTATATGGAAGCCAAGCAATCTTTATAAATCATAAATCAGATTTGCATCATGTAGTAATAATATCTTCAATGGCTCTCTGTTATACTTGCAATAAATTCCACGGCTTAAAGATTCAACAATGTCTGGCCCCCACTTATCTTTCCAACCTTATTCTCTACCACTTTCCTCTTTACTCACTTTGCTCCAGCCATAATGGCCTTCTTGGTATTCCTCAAAACATACCATCTTGCTACAGTCTGTGGGCCTTTATATCTATTGCTTCCTCTATCTGAAACACCCCTACCCCAGATCTTCTCATTATTAACCCCTATCATTATTTGTTGTTTGTGTTCAAATGCCATCTCTTCAGAAAAGCCCTTCATGATGCCTTCTGATAAATAAGTTAATTTAATATAGTACAATTTATCGGTTATTTTAATTTTTTTGGCCACTGCCCACTCCACCACAGGTGTACTCTATCACTTTATTATAGCTCTTATCACTATCTGAAATAATATCTTTTATTTGTTTATTGTCGGTCTTCTCCACTAATCCATAAATTTCGTAAGAGCATAAAGTTTTGTCTGCCTTATTTTCTCATAAGTCTTTGAGTCCTGGAATGGGTCTGGAATACTAAAGGTGTTCCACAGAATTTTGTTGAATGAATCAATCAACAACGTTCATATTTTTATGAAATGAAGTTTTATAAAGTATATGGTGGCTCCTTCAGTCACCAAATCCAAGATCCATTTAACTCTTATAAATTATTATTGAAATTAAAAATGTACATTGCTGATGTAGAGAGAGACAAAAAAACTAAACACAACAGAAAGCTCTTAGAAACAAACCCATGATTATGTGAAGCCTAGATATATGATAGGTAGAGAAAGAAAAGACTATGAAATTATTGATACTAGGAAAATTGGTTATCTGTATTAGAAAAGTAAGTCTCTACCCTATTACCACAAAGAATAGTTTTATGAAAATTAAAGACAAAAATGTAAAAAACAAAACTTGAAAACTTTTAGAAGAAAATATAAGAGAATATCTTTATAAACTTGGGGTAAGAAATGATTCCTTTACAAAGACAAAACAAAGCACTAACCATAAAAGACAGAATTGATACATTCTACTACATAAAAAAAATTAAGAATTTAACCAAAAGATACCACAAAGAGACTGGAAATAAAGACACAAGACAGAAGATACTTGTAACACATATAATAAAAGGTTAGTATCCAGAATGTTTAAAAAAAAAAAAAACCTCATAAATCAATTACAAAAAAAAAAACGACAATGCAATATAAAAATAAGGAGATGCTTCAAAAAGAATAAAATACCAAGGAATAATTTAACAAAGGAGGTGAAAGATGTGTACAGTGGCCCCCTCACTCCCAACCTGGTCAACTGAGATCTGAAAATATTAAATGGAAAATTCTAGAAATCAACAATTTTAAATTGCATGTTGTTTTGAGTAGTATGATGAAATCTTATGCTGTCCCACTCTGTCCCACCTGGGACATGAATCATCCCTTTGTCCAGTATATCCATACTGTATGTACAATACAATAATGTATTTTGAGACCACATTCACATAAATTTATTACAGTACAGTTACAATTGTTCTGTTTTATTATTAGTTATTGTTTTTAATCTCTTATCATAGGTACACATGTACAAGAAAAAACATAGTATATATAGGGTTTGGTACTATCTGCAGTTTCAGGCATCCACTGGGGGTCTTGGAATATACACTCTGTGGATAAGAGGAGACCACTGTACACTGAAAACTATAAGACATTAATGAAAAAAAAAAAACTGAAGAAGACACAAATAAATGGGAAGATATTCTTCCTGATGAACTGGAAAAGTTAATATCGTTAAAATGTCCATACTTTCCAAAGCAATCTACAAAATCAATGTAATCTCTCCCAAAATTCCAATAGCATATTACAAAAACAGAACAAACAATCCTAAAATTTGTATGGAACCACATAAGACTCTGAATAGCTAAAGTGATCTTGAGAAAGAATAAAGTTGGAGTCATGTTTCCTGGTTTCAAACTGTATTACAAAGCTATGGGGGGTGGGGGGAAACTACAGTGTGGTATTAGCATAAAAACAGACATACAGAACAGAAGAGAATAGAGAGCCCAGAAATAAACCCATATATATATGGTCAATTAATTTATGACAAAGGAGTCAATAATATACAATGGGGAAAAGGACAGTCTCTACAATAAATGGTGCTGGGAAAACTGGATAGCCACATGCAAAAAAATGAATCTGAACCACTATCTTACACTATACACAAAAATTAACTCAAAATAAAAACTTGAATGTAAGACTTGAAACCATAAAACTCCTAGAAAAAAACAAGCAGTAAGCTCCTTATATCAGACTTGGTGATGATTTTTTGGATATGACACCAAAGGCAAAGGCAACAAAAGCAAAATTAAACAAACAGGACTACATTAAATTGAAATGCTGCTTCTGCACAGTGAAGGAAATCAACAAGATAAAAAGGCAACGTACTGAAATAGAAAAAAATATTTTCAAATCATATATCTGTTAATCAGTTAACAGCCAAAATACATAAAGAACTCACACAACTCAATAGCAAAAAAAAACCCCCAAGCAATCCTATTTAAAAATTGAGAGTATCTAAATGGATATTCCCACCCCCGCAACCTCCAAAAAAAGATATATAGAATGCCAACAGGTACATGAAAAGATGCTCAACATCACTATCTGAGAAATGCAAATCAAAACCATAGTGAGTTGTCGCCTTATACCTCTTAAAATGGCTATTATTAGGAAAACAAGAAATAAAGTGTTGGTGAGAATGTAGAGAAAAAGGAACCCTTGTGCATTGATGATGGGAATGTAAACTGGTGCAACCGCTATGGAAAACAGTATGCAAGTTCTTATAAAAATAGAACTATTATATTATCTAGCAATTCTCTTTCTGGGCATTTATCCAAAGAAAATAAAAACACTAAGTCAAAAAATATATATGCACTCCCAGGTTCACTGCAGCATTATTTACAATAGCCAAAATATGAAAATAAATATCCATCAGCAGATGAATAGATAAAAAATGTAGTACATATGTATAGTAGAATATTATTCAGCCATAAAAAAGAATGAAATCCTAACATTTGAGACAACATGGATAGAAGTTGAGGGCATTATGCCAAGTGAAATATGTCAGACAGAGGACAAATGTGTAATGCTCACACTTATATGCAGAATCTAAAGAGACTTGAAACAACAAAATGAGCCCAAAGAGATGGAGGTTGCCAGAGAAAGAGAGGTTGGGGGAGGGAGCAAAGTGCAAAATGAGTGAAGGAGGTAAAAAGGTACAAACTTCCAGTTATAAAATAAGTCATGCAGATGTAATATACAACATGGTGACTATAGTTAGGAATACTGCACTATATATTTGAAAGTTGCTGAGAGTAAATCTTAAAAATTCTCATCACAAGAAAAAATCATCTGTAACTAGGTGTGGTGATGATGTTAACTAGAAATACGGTGGAGATCATTTTGCAATATATACAAATATCAAATCATTATGTTGTATACCTGAAACTATTATAATGTTGTATGTCAATTATAATACAATAAAAATAATTTAATATACAAAATGAAAAATGGGGGGTACTTAAATGGTGATTTCATGGAAGAAGAAATGCAAATGTTCAATATACACACAAAGGTGCACCCTCTTTAGTAATCAGAAAAATACAAATCAAGATCATAATGAAATAAATATTTTATACTCAGTAAAACTGACAAAAATTAATGTCTGACTGAAAAAGTTGAAAATCACATGGTATCATTTATATGTGGGATAGAAACCTAAAAGCAACAAATGAACAGGACAAACAGAGACTCAGGGACATGGACAATGGACTAGTGGTTACCAGAGAGTAGGGGGTGGAGGAGGAGGGAACAGGTAGACAAGGTAAAAGGGGTCAAATATATGGTAGCTGAAGGAAACTAGATTTTGGGTGGTAATCACACAATAGAATATATAGATGTCAAATTATAATGTACACCTGAAAATTATATATTTGTATTAACCAATATTACCCCAATAAACTTAATAAAAAAATAATTACTGTCTGATAATAGCAAATAGATAAGAAAGGGATCAATGAGACATTTTAAGCACTGCTGGTGGAATATAACCTGATACAAGCACCTTGGAAAACAATTTAGAATTGTCTTATAAAATTGAATTTCAGCATACCCTACAGGTCCAACAAGTCCACTCTTAGCTTCATACCTAGAAACACTCTTCTATGTGTGTACCAAGAAATAAGAATAAGAATGTTCATAGCAACACAGTTCATAGTAGCAAAAAACAAAACAATTTAAATATTCATCAATTGAAAATAAAATGGATAACAGTGTTATATGCAGATAATGGAATAGTATGCAGCACTGAAAAGGAAGAGTCCATAGCTATGCCCAATAACAAGGCTGAATCTTGGAAAAAACATGTTAACTACAAAAAACAAACCCTAGAAGATGACATATATCATGACACCACTTTTATAAAATTAAAAACCAAGCAAACCTTAGTGATACATATGTAATTTAAAAATAACCAAAAAAAAACTATTTTTTTTAAAAAAGCAAAGAATGATAAACAAAATATATAAAATATTCATCATCTCTGGGGGACAGACACAGGAATAGAAGAGAGAAGCAGCACATAGATGGACATGAAGTTTTTTTGTTGTTTTTTTTTTTTTTTGTATCAGTTTCAGGTATACAGCACAATGGTTAGAGATTTATATAATTTACACAGTGATCCCCCAATTAGTCTAGTACTCATCTGGCTCTATACATAGCCATTACAATATTACTGACTATACTTCCTATGCTGTACACTCCCTATCCCTGTTACTGTTTTGTAACTACTAATTTGTACTTCTTCATCTTTTTCACCGAAACCCTCAACCCCTCTCCCGTCTGGCAATCACCAGTTTGTTCTTTGTATCTGAAAGTCTGTTTTTGTTTCATTTGTTCATTTATTTTGTTCCTTAGATTCTACATACAAGTGAGATCATATGGCATTTGTCTTGCTCTGTCTGCCTGCTAGATTCTATCTAAGTCATTGCAAATAGTAAGATTTCATTTTTTATGGCTGATTAACATTCCATTGTATACATGTACTTTAATTTCTTTATCCAGTCATCTATTGATGGGCACTTAGGTTGCTTCCATATTTTGGCTGTTGCAATAGCAGTCAACAGAGGGGTGCATAAATCTTTACAAATTAGTGTTTTATAAAGATTTTAGTGTTTTGGTTTTTTTCGGATAAATACTCAGAAGTGCAATTGCTGGGTCAAAAGGTAGTTGTAGTTTTAATTTTTTGAGGAACCTCCAAACTGTTTTCCATAGTGGCTGTACCAATTTGCAATCCCATCAACAGTGTACGAGGGTTCCTTTATCTCCAACACTTGTTTTTTTACATGAGGTATTTTTAAGATTCAAGCTCTTAAGTGGTAAGTGCAACATGTAGTCACTGTATGACTATGCTTTATAATTTACATATGCTACATTTTTTTCATAGTATTAGTACATTTAAGGCTAACTTAAAATACATTATGAGAAGAACTAATAGAATGAAAGCATGCATTAGTATTTCATCAGTAAGATAAAGGTATCTATCTATGTCTTGAATAACTTTACTATATAAAAAAGGAAATAGTCTAAAAAGTGTGAATTTAGTTCTAGTCACCCCTTTGTAACTCCTTATTGAGGTACTACTATTTATGATTTGATAACCTTGAAGTGAGAGGGTTTGCAAAAATAGCAAAATACATAATATACTTCTTTAGGAAAAACAGAAAACCTTATTTTTCTATTTTGTTTTCTCTCACCCCATTCACAAACATTAACAACTACAAAGACAAAAAACAGAATTGTACAATATTAAAGTCATTTTGATGTCCATCATTTGTACTACAGTGGACTAATGAAATGTAAACTCAAAAAGGGCAGTAACTTTATCTGCATCCCTTGGCATAAAACTGTCAATAAATATTTGCTAAATGACTGAATAGATATTTCATGAAAGAATCATGCATGATATCAGCGTAGTTGCTGACAAAACAATCAACTGCCTCACCTACTAAAGATAACATTACAGTGCCCTCTCCTGGTTGTACTTTGTAGTGGAAGTAAAGTAACCTACTTTGCTATTCATGTTGCTTTATTATCTATCTTAAGTAGAGTAGAAACCAATCACGCTAGAATAATTAATAATAATATAATTAACATAACAGCTGAAACTTCTAAAGAGAATATGATTCTATACTATCGTTCTTTATTTTCTGACTTCAGCTCATCAATATAAAATCTGAAGACGTTTACAAACTTAAAGTCTGGTGTATACCCTTAAACTAAGTGAAAGCTAAGATAAAATGAAGTAATTATTTTAGAGTCATAAATAATTCTAAATTTCCCCTTACAGATGGTATACCTTTTCTTAAATACTTAAATAATTTAAATATGTTGGTATACATAACATTATAGCTTTTTCATTCAATAGTAGAGATCCTAATAAAGTATTATAGAAAATTCACTTTCACTCTAACAGATATGTGGTCTCTAGGAAATAATTATATAGTCCCCTTTTAATTGCTGGCAGAGCACATAAAATATAAATTCATCTCGAATATATGTTGTATAATTTTATTTATACATGCTTAAAACACATAACCAGAATAAATTCCTATTCCAAGTAAATATTAAAGACCTGCATTTATAAAACCTAGTTCCTAAAATAGAACCATTTCAACTGATATTAAAAATTAAATTCCATTTGTAAAATTCAGCAGTGCCGATCAGTTCACCTTCACCAACATCTAAATATATGAAATAATTAAAACAACTGAAAAATCCATTGAAAATATCTGCCAGGTATCACAAGTAAGGCTGAACAAGAAAACATAAAAATGTTTTGAGATTTGTATACTTTTTTCTACTTTAAATATTTCTACTATTCTAATAATGCTGACTGTACAATAAACAACATATTTAAAATAGTATGAATTGTTGCAGTTAAAAAAGGAATTAGGATATGACTTTAAATCATCTCTCTTTTCAGAAAAAAATTACATATATATTATAACCGGTTTTAGATATAAATAGCTACTACTCTAGAACATTTTACACCTGAAAGAAACCTTGCCATTTTCTTGCTCAGTCCCCCACTTTAGCCAATGGGGAGGAGGGAAATGAGCCCCAAAGCTGTGAACTGACTTGCAATTGTCGGTTAACTATTTAGAAATAAATACTAAAACTTTCTGAATCAATATAATTCCCACACTGATCTTCAGTAAAGTTAGAATCTTTGTCTGATTCACAATGCAGTAATATTGCAATTATTTGGTTAAACTTCAGTTCAGCAAACTGACAGTTTCACTCTGATTTTTGAAAACCAGTAGAAAACACACTGGACTAGTAACCAATTCTAACTCCCTGGATATTTCAGTTCTTAGCTTCAGGCTTTGCATCTATAAAATTAATGCTTTTTGGGTGACTTCTGAAGTTCTTTTCACATCAGTAATTTTATGATTTTTAATATAAAAGTTGTTCCTGTCACAACGCTTTGACATTATCTATTATTGGGTCTAACTCCCTTGCTAGGCTATGATGATCCTTAAAGGTAAGGCACATGTTTTATTCATTGTGTATCCGCCAAAGCAAACAGTGTCAGTCAAATAAAAAAAATTTTTTGGACATAAATTTAAAGATTACATCTTCTAAATTCCTAAGTTGAAACATGTTTCACTTATAAAATCCCCAAAGAATAAAAAATTTTTTCATAACCAAATTGTCATATAAAAATTCTGACTGAATAGCATTTCTCATTGTCACATGGCAGTAAATTTCTTATACCGTGTCCGGCCTCAAAGTAGTCTGAGCTATGCTTTGTGATGACTGCAGAAAGGAATACTATGAAGAAGTCCTAAATTATGATTAGGTAATTGGCTAAGTGAATTATCTATCTTTAGATAATCAAGATGTAAATATACAAATACTATCAATCTCAGATGGACACTGACAACAGATTGGGCACTGAATGATCATTTATTTTCTTTACTTTGTATTTCAATGCTTGGAAAGAAAAGCAGAAAATTTAATAATCAAAATAGAAATACATATGCCTTTTATAAGTACACATCAAAATATTATGTCTCCAAACATGTCATTCAAACCTTAGCTACTTACTTGATGGCCCAAGGACATCTTTGCTATCACCAAGAAGCTTTTAATGCAGGGTAATTGAGCAGCAAACAAATACAATCCAAACCAGGAAGAAGCAAAATGCATCAGGATTGAAGCAGCAGTGAAACAAAAGGACAAGGAAAATAGCATTAGTTTATAAGTTGAAAGCACATGCACATCAATCCTAATAATCACAATTCACAAGGAATTTCCTTTTCCACACATAACAAGATCCTGGCTTAGGCATTATCAAATAGTTGTTTTATTTTGGAAAATGAAGTCAGAAAGAGAAAAATGAAATCATCCAAGTATTTCGTTTTGAAAATTACTCAAGTTAAAAATTACTTTTATTTATAATTCAAGATATAGGTTAGGAGTGGTAAAAAATATTTAGAAATATATAAGGGACAGCCAAGAGTTATTCATTCTTTACATTTCAGTGGTTTAAAAATACATTATATTCATGCACTTTTAAATATTAGTTCCGCATGCCATGAAAGCACTTAATACTACATAGAAATTCAGGCTGTTTCTTCTACAAAGGAACATTTATGAGTGCTTATTATATGCCAAGCATTGAGCAAAAAGCATTACAAAGACATCAACAAAGCAGAACAATTATTTTCTCAAACGGCAAAAAAAAAAAACAAAGAAACCAAAGAGGAATACTAATTAGAACGATAAATTTTATTCGGACAAAATTTTCTTAGAACCTACTAAATATCAAGCATATCATCTGGAGCTACTGGTCTTTAAGAAGTTAGAAGACCCAATTCTTAAATGAATAATTTGCAATCAACTAAAAAAAAAATTGCTAACCTTTAATAACTATTTTAACTAACATACATTACACTAAATGTCATCTATGGACAAGTGTTTTAGTCTCCCTTGTAGGTACAAAATCCTCAGCTCTCCTTCATTTAAAATACCAACTATGATAACATATCACAACTAAAGTCTAACAACAAAAACAAAAAATTCCCACTGTTTACATTATTGCTTGGTCTTATTTAAAGGGAATTGGGGACTCTTAATTGACTATAACCCAAAAAAGGTAACGATTGTTTGCTTTGCGCTTCTGTTGTCTCCTAGGAAAAACTCTTAGCCTTTTTACTTTACTAAAGTGATAGTTATTTCACAATGCTTGATATTATGTTCTAATGCCTTTTAAAGGTATTTGCTCAGAAATAAATAAAGGCATTTGCTCTATTCATTTTTTTGTTATTGCTCATTTAAGCTCATTCTTCTATAAAATGATTTCAGTTTCACAGGATAAGCGAAAAAAATACATCTTTAGTGACAATGAACTAATTGTGCTCAAGTCCTTATTACCATGTTAGAACAACTAGCAAGCATGTGGGGAGAGATTTAGGTATTTGCAGTAGGCAATCTCTAAAATGGCCCGGTGATTCCCCCACTTCTTGGTGTATAACCCCCGCTCTTTGAGGGTATGCTAGACTTGCTGAAAGTACTTCTAATGAACAGAATGTGGCAGAAGAAAAGGGACGTCACTTCCAAGATTAGATTGTTAAAAAACTAGGACTTCCACCTTGTTTACAGTCTCTGTTCTCTCTTAGATCACCCTGGGGAAAGCCAGCTCTGTTCGCCCCTCACCTCTCAGCCATGAAGAGAAGGAACTAATATCTGCCTGACAACCACGAAGTGAGCTTTGATGTGCATCCCTCACCAAGATCCTCCCCAACCACCGCCCACCCCCGCCCCATCCACCTAGTCTAGCTTTCAGATAAGACTGCAGCAGCCCTCCTCTGCAGTAACTTAGCTGAAACCATACAGAGATTCTGAGCCACAGACAACTGGCAAAACTGCTCTTGGATTCCTGACTCAAAGAAACAGTAAGATAATAAATGCTTGTTGTTTTACACTTGATTTTAGGATGATTTGTTATCTATCACCAATAAATAAATAATATTGGAAAACTAAAAGAAGTTAAGAAATTGACAGGGACAACTGCGGAAAACTTTACTAATGCTTTATAGACATCTTCTTTAAAACATCTTCCAGTATGGATAGGGATAATTACTAGTTTCCCTAGATTTACCAGGAACTTCCTAGAGGAAAGCAATGGTTCTAACCATTTGTACCTGGTTGGGAGTATTCAATTTCACAGGGCCAGTCACATTTGGAAATTTTTTAGTTGATCTTCTATTTAGGGTAAAAGATTAAGTTTAGTTTCATTGTACAGTTCTGTTATACTCTTCAGTTTTCTTAATTAACAGCACTATGTCAACATCTGTGCAGCTGTACTCTTTGCCTGTTTACTTCTTAGCATATATAGCAACTTCTCAATATCTGCTTCCAATAATGCTGAATTTCAATGTTACATCCTCAAGCATTTATTTATTTGTTCATTTGTTTGTTTATTTTTACGCCTACGGCACCCAGTCTTTCTGGGTCTCCCATCCAAGTACTAACCAGGCCTGACCCTGCTTAGCTTCCTAGATCAGACAAGCTCGGGCTTGTTCAGGATGGCATAGCCGTAGACTCTCAAGCATTTTTGTGTCATATAAACCTGATCCTATTGAAGTAATCCAATATTCTTTTCAGGTTGAGGCACTGAATATTAATCAAAATAAACGACACTGTCTATTCCTATCATTGATCCATCCATCTATCCAAATATTTACTGAGTACCTAATATATATACAGGTATCATTTTAGGCATCATGGGGTACAGTAATAAACAAAACAGACAAAAATCTTGCTTTCATGTTAGTTCTGTTCTAGTGGGGGAGATGAACAATAACATAATTAAGAAGTAAAAATTTGTTATACATTATATAGTATAAATACTAAGGAAAAAATAAGCAGAGAATGAGGATATACAAAATTTTAGGGAAGAAGGAGTTAAAATTTTAGATAGGGTTGCCTAAGAAGGTTTCGCTACAGAGATGACTGAATAAAATGAAGTAAATGACCATAAGAACATAAAGGGAAAG